CAATTTGAGTGAAAGGACTGGGGAGCGACATATTAATCATGTAATTATTCAATCCAGCAGTTGCGTTAATGCAAGATCTCCGTGTAACCGTCCAATTTACGTTGTTGCATTTATCAGATAGTCTGAAGAGTTTTCACTGTATTGCCAAAATGAACTATGATTAAAATAATACTCTGCTGATTCTATTTATAAACCACTCCTAACATGTTTTATATAGATTAAGAAAAACACTAAACTTCTTTAATTCTTGTTTAAAATTTAACAATTTTCTAATTTTATCCTATTTAGTATATGTTATACTTCATATAAACAAAATTAACATAATAATAAATAAAAGATTAAATTGTAAATCCATATAAAAAAATTTCTCTCACTACTTTATAAATATAACCAAAAAATGTATTCTTTCTTTGCCCTATAAATAAGACTAGAGGAGTATATTTTAATTCAAATATATTCAAAATATTTACATGTAACCTTAAAAACGGTAATATTTAAATTAAAAAAATATTAATTTATGAGTAAATGGATTATTCATGTATAAATAACATATAATCTGAAAAAACATTAATAAAGTTAAAGTACTGATTTTTTTCGTCTTTTAAATCCAAAATGAAAATGTTTCAGGTTTTTTTTGTTGGGTCTAAGTGAAAATGTTTTAGGGTTAATAATAAGGGGGAAAAACATAAAATCTGACTCGTATAAACTCGGACTAGATTAAAATTAAATATTGGTTTGACTCAAGTTGAGTTTTAATAGCATTTATTATATTTTTGAGAAGCTTTCATATCAAAACCAATGGAGAGGTATTATCAGCCAAGAAAACACTTGTAAAATCAGCTTAATACTGGCAAATAATTGACATCTCCAGCAAATTTTCTTACCCTATATTTGGATGGGGATGGGGAGAAAATTAGGAAGGACAGAATACTAGGAAGAAAAGCTTCCAAAAATAATATTTTTTTTATACTACTTTTAAAAGTTTTTCTTCATTAATTCTCCCTTCTATTTTTCTTCTACCTTTCTCTCCATCAAAACATAGCTTAAAAAAAGCGTGAGTAGTGAGATATGGAAGAATTTAATATAATAAACAGAACTAACATAGAGTCAAAAGGTAAATCCATGACAATAGAATTTAAAACCTAATGGTCAAGAGCCCGGGAAAAAAAAAAACTATGAGGAGTATACATTAGAGAACAATACGTAAAAATGTTAATGGTTGGGAAAACAAGAAGGAAAAAGGAAGATTAATGAATTTCTGATGGATTCTGAAACACCGGTCTAGCTCACCGACAGAAGAGGAGAAAATTGAAAGTTCATAATATCTGCAAGAACATGCACTTAGAAAACAGAGGAGCGATGCAAAAGTTATAATCTTTTTGAAACCAACTACACAATTTCTATTTTGTCATCTAGCCTTTCTTATGTATGTTGTGTGTGTGTGTGTGTGCGTGTTTTTTTTTTGGGGGGGGGGGACGAGTTTAAGGGAGGAAAAAAGATGATACTATGATAGGGGTCAAAAAGAGAAAAGGCAATGGCGACAAAAGTGAAATGAAATTAAAAGCAGAGACCTTCATGTAGGGGAATAAGTTGAGCGTTGGATGGGAAATCTGTGAAGAAACTGATCAGAAGCAGAAATCCAAAGAAGAAAATTGAGACAGATTTGGAGCTTGACGTCGCAAACTCCGTTAAAAGAGGCCACCGAGGTTGATTGGTTTTGACTTGTGAATAAGATGAAAGGATGGAGCCAGAGCAGCTAAAAGGAAGATATACAGAGAAGGTGACGAGGCTCAAGTGACTTATAGTACTTGGAAGAAGGAGACGACAACGACTTACAGGGCTGTAAGCCGTGGACTTAAAATACCATAAATTTTTTGTTTCTATATAGACTTGATTATACTCATATTTTAATTAATAAACGCGAATCAAATTCCAGATAATATTATAAAATTAAATATATTTTTAATTCATTTTATTCAATTAATATATTCTTTTTTACTATCTTTTCGTATATTTTCTCTCAATTTTTTCTCACTCTTACCTACCCACTTATAAATAAAGACTTATTTAAAAAAAAATATAATTCTTACATATTTTTAAAATTTTAATTAATTTTAACAGTTTTTTTGAATCACGCAAGTTGTACATTTAGATCTCACCGATAGGAGTAAAAATTAGAGCATTTATTAGGAGTCAATGTTTTGAGAAAAAAGGTTTTTTTTTTCCAGTTGAAAAGACAAGCGTTGCCGATAAAATATTACAACCCCGACATACAAAGGCAACTTGCATGCCATTATGTCATAAAATTACTGATGAGAAAAAATATTTAAAATAATAAAATTAAAATAGACATATAACATAAAATAGATTAGTTTTTCTTATCTTTTAATATGACATAGCACATTAGTATTAGATAAAAGGGTTATTATAACTCCCTCTACCCCTAGCTTTTTTTTTTTGGGGCAAGGGATTGAAGAGAAAACCACTTAACGCGAGTGGTACCCAAACAGTCGCCTCACCTACTTATATACACTAACACACTCATACACCCATCAGAAAATGGGGCTTGACTGAGCATGGTTTATATAAAAACTCTGAGTTATAAGATGACAAAATTTAAAACTAAAAACTTTAGACATCATTATTATAACATGACATGAATATAAAGATGTTTTTATTACAACATAACAAATTATTTTAATTATTACAACAAAACGAATTGTATTATCAATTCTGACTATTGTAAATTTCAAAAAATAATCTGAGGGAATATGGCAAACAATCCTGAGGGCCATGATTAATATTTCCTTCGACCCGTTTTTTTTTTTTTGGGGATACCATCTCTATCTTATTCTTATTTATATGAATCATTTATAGGATATTTTAAAATTTTTATTAGTTTTTTATTAATTATTTATTTTAATAATCAATATATTCCTTCTATTTCGTAATATATAAGTCGCTTCTAAAAAGATAACTTAATTTCAAAAATAAATCAGTTGAAAAGTAATTAACACTTCTCTATTAATTTTATCATTGCAATTGATACTTAAATATAACTCTTATATTTTTTTCTCTCTTTCATAACCTCATTTAATATGGGTAAAGCTACAAAAGATTTTTTATTTGAAACACATTTAATGAATCAACTATATTTTTTTATACTGATAAATTGGTTAATTGTTAAAATAATTTATATTGTGAACTGAAGGAATTATTTATTATCTCATTTTTCACAATTTATTCATCTCATAAGTAAAAGTATGTAAAAAAAACTTATAAGTTCTAAAAATGGAAGATAATTATTAAAAATTCCTGATAACAATCTAAATATGCAGTGACAAGTTTTAAAATAAAAAATAACAACTTTTGACATTTATTTTAAAATTATTTTTTTTAGAATCTCATGATAATTTTCTTGTTTGACTTATCCGTATGATTTGTTCCAATATTTTTTATTAAAAAGAAAAAACGACACGGGAAGTAATTAGATTAGCACAGTGCCTGCAGAGTGCAGACAAGCAGATGACTCGGAGACTTTGGTAGTCTGGTTAATAATTGCATGGATCCACCAATGGGAAAGAGAACTGCCAGTGTGCCGCATCTATCTCTATCCCGTCTTGGTGCTTCCCCCTTGCAAAAATTTTTTTTAAAAAAAATTCCATTTTAATTTCCTATAATTAATATAATGTCTTAATACAAAAGTTATAAAATCCCTCTCCCATATATTTTTCTCGTCCTATTTATATAGAAAAAAAAAATTAATTTTATTTATAAGTTATTTTATAAAATTTTCAGTCTAAATATATTATTTTGTCTTTTATCTATTCTGGTGTAGATAAATTTTTTTAAAATATATATATTAAATTTCAGTAAAGTTAAAAAAATTTATATTTAAACAAATAATTAATAAATTTTAATATTTTTTATTTTATATAAAATATGTAAAAAGTATCTTAAAAAATCCCTTATAAATTATATTAAAAAAATATCTTGTAAATAAATAGGATCAGCGGAACCTTGAGGGCCCACCCGGCACCCCCATAAAGAATCCACGGACTATTTTCTCACCGGGGGGCAAAATTTATGCGTGTGGGTCATAGTTCTTTAAGAAGCGACGTACGTATTCTTCTCTTTTTCTTTTTTTCTTTTTTATATTAAAATATAAATATTTTTTTATTGAAGGCAATCCTATTTTCTTTTTATTATCACAACTAGTTGTTAAATATTTTATATAAATTAACTGCAAAATAATATTTTATTATAAACTAAGAAGATTAAATAAACAGGGTTAAGTGGAAAAATCATAATTTTTAAATGACCCTTTATCAAACAAAAAAACGAAAATATTTTTCCACCATGATTATCCAAACAAGCTTATGAAATCGTTCGTGGAATTGTATCCTTCAGCCGACTTTCAGAAAATTAAGAAAAATGCTTCGTCATCAGATTACACGTTACATTATGGAAACTTGTGAGTGGAATCATTGTGTGCAAAAAACCCTAAAAGAGATTAGTCGGTTGCTCAAATATCTGATAGTAGCATCGAAAAATGCCGGATACCGGCTAATTGTATAAAAGAAATTTTATATTGATCCTTTTGTGATTAAAAGCAACAAAAGGATGTGAAGCTCGACGCTGATCTTCTGATTCAGTGGCTGCTGAATTTTACAAGAGAATATTCAATTAAGAAATTATGGAAAGCAGTTAGTTCCAGATATGGTATACATATGCAATGAGTTATAACCATGAAGTGTGTGAATATGGTGACTTGGTACTCGCACAAGTGAAGTGAAACAAAAATGAGAGGCCGAGGTTGACGTAAATTAATTCAAGAGGAACAATGTCCGCTCGATTTCTGTTGAAGTAAATATGATGAGGTCTAAGAAATTGTTCTCTCCACCACAGTTTATTAAACTATGATGTATATCAGGAGGAGATGAGAAAACCTTTCCAATATTTAACTGTTGAGATGAGAAAACCAACCCAGTTGAATATCCTGTCGAGAATCTCATTCTAATCAATAAAAGCATATCACAGAAGAATTAGAGCATCAGTTCGTGGCTAGCCATAACCAGAATGGTACAGAAGATGCAGTTTGTTGAGGTTATGAGACAATCTAGTCTCTTTTATTCCAGTAAGAGGAGTCCAAATGCAGAGGATAGAGATCTGATGCTGATGTTGAAGCAGCAGCCCACGGTTCGTCCACTGATGTACCTTGTTCTTGAATCTCAGTCATCTTATTGTCTTCCAACTGGTTGTATAACATCCTCATTACCTCCAACTTCTTCTCGTCCAATACCTCACTTGACTCTGAAACTATCTCCTCAACCACACTTTTACCTTCAAGCATGCTTACCACTGAAGACATGGTAGGCCTGAGAGCTGGGGTGACATTGGTGCACAAGAGAGCCACTTGGATCATCACCATCGCTTCCTCCTTGTCAAAGTTTGAGCCCAACCTTCGATCAACTAGCTCTAGCAACTCCCCTTTTTCTTTCAAGAGACGTGCCTGGTGAAATCAAAATACAATATATAATCAAACTAATTCCATCCTTGGAAACAATAAAAATTGCAGGGAGAACGAAAGAACTGTCAGGTTATGCAGGAAAGGCGGAATGGAAGCATTCTTTTCTGGCATAGCTTGTACCAGAAAGAAGCAACCAAAACCATAAAGCTCAAGTTTGAATTGAAAAGATCTCATTGTAAGACGTTGGTAAAATTCTCAGGGCAGAAGCAAGAAAAAACTTATGAAAATTGTTTGGATGTCTTTAAGGTGGAGATTATGTGAGTAGTATTGTTTGATCAGTGTGCAATGTCTCCGAAAAGGGTTGTCTTGATATTAGATGAACATTGAAAAACAAAAAGCCCCCTGTGCTGTAGACATTGTCTAGATAAAATTGACATGATTACTAGATAGCTTGAGAATATTTTACCCAGTCAAGAAGATAGATTGCTTCCTCCTTTGCTCGGTGAATGGTGTTGACCCTCCCACTGACAATTTCCAAGGCAACAATTCCAAAACTATAGACATCTGCTTTGTCAGTTAAGTAACCATGCATCGCATATTCAGGTGCCATGTATCCACTATAAGAATAAAAAGTATATACATTGTATTATGTTAAAAATAAAAAAATTAGAGTCAAATATATATTTTAGTTCATAATAGATTGAAAAAGTCGAATGACATGCTAGCACAATTCTTCATATAGCTTAATTAATGACTATATTTACGAACATAATTCCTGAAAGAAGTTTATTTTAAAAGAAGAAACTCACTAAGTGCCAGCAATTCGAGTGCTTATGTGAGTATTGTCCTCTTCAACAAGTTTGGCCAAACCAAAATCAGATATCTTGGGATTGAGATCTTTATCAAGTAGCACATTAGTGGCCTTAATGTCTCTATGAACAATCTTCAATCTTGATTCTTCGTGGAGGAATGCTAAACCTCTAGCAATCCCAATGCAAATCTTGTGTCTTGTTGGCCAATCTAACTTTAATTGAAGTTCCTTCGAACCTTCATTTGTGAGTGCAATAATAATTAGACAACATTATCATATGGCAAGTATAACTGTTGTAAGATATTGTATTATTACAAATCAAACAAGCAAAAAGAAAATAATTTACCAAATAAAGCACGGGCAAGACTATTATTATCCATGAACTCATATATTAACAGCAGTTGATTTCCTTCAACACAACAGCCATAAAGCTTAACCAGATAGGGGTGCTGCAAAGCAGAAATCATGCCTATTTCATTTATAAATTCACGATTTCCTTGCTTTGATTTGGTGGACAGCTGCTTAACTGCAATAATTGTGCCATTTGGGAGTATACCCTGCAATTTTGGATATGACATAGAAGTTATAGGAAAGTTGAAATGGATTTTCAAGTAAATAAGAACCGCAAAGGCAATTGGTCAAGCATGCAATTAATAGAATATGTGTTATGTCGTGTATAACCTTATAAACAGGACCAAACCCTCCTTCTCCGATCTTATTAGCTGTATTAAAGTTGTTGGTTGCTGCTTTGATTTCCTTGAAGGTGAATATACCAGTTCTAAGATGCAAACCCTCAAGATCTGTCAGTAAAAGCAAACAAAAATCAGAGAGCTAGAATTTTCATCAAATTTTGAGTCACAGTGGTGCAAGATCATGCATGAGATGAAAAAATTGCCATCTTAAAATGAAGTCAGAGTACACCAAAATTCATACTACACAAATCACAAGAGCCCAACTCCAGACAAAACATCTAAGTTTTGCATGAAAGGATTGGTTAGCAGTTCGTAGTTTGCTTTGTAATTACCTTTCGCCAATGAACTTCTGCGTCCTATACAGCCTCTCCACCAAAGTATACCAAATACCACGATCACAATAACAGCTCCTCCAAGCACGATTCCTACCACGGCCCCAGTAGATACTCCATTTTTTGGGTCTGTTTGGTTTTAATGAAACAAATTTATGTATTAGATGATGATATTGGTACCACCTAGGTGGTGGCAGAAAATTTAAAACCTGTAGTGTACCACCCACCATATTCCGCGGATATAGCAGATATAAGAGGACCGTATACTGATTTGTATGGGATAGCCGTTGTCCCTTTTCCGGCCCAATAGAATCTAATCTCCAGGGTATTATTAGTGACATCAGTAGTGAATGGTTCTATCACCGCCTTCCCTACTCCTCCTGCTCTTTCAACAATGTTGAAGTTCTCTAGCACCCTCTTTCCCTACAAGATTTCAGTCCAAACCTTAGCGCTTCAGGCATGAAGGCTACCTCTACAGTTTTGAGGCGGTTGGAAACATTCTAGGGGAAATGAAACTTTGGGACCTAATAAAGAATCGAAGGTGCTTAATAATATTTAAATATAAAAAATGAAATTACTTAATTATCTTTTTTTCCCATAAAATGTTCCATGTCAAAACTTAAAAGCTAGAGTCAGTGAAAAATTATTAGATAATCAGGAGTAGATTTCAAAATATAAGTGTCAGTCAAACAAGTTTTTTTTTAATCTTTCGAAATCTCACAGCAACAAATTTTTCAACTATTCACATAAAAGATTTGAAAATAAGAATCTTATTTCGCCAATATGTGTGTGTGTGTTTGGGAATGCCAAATGGACTTCCTAAAATTTGAGAGATCAGATATGTGAAAAATTGCAATTGATGTTTCAATTTTAGAAATTATTAAAAATAAGTACACAAATTTCACTCTGTCTTGCAAAATTTGGCATTTGTATGAAAATTTTTTAACTATATTTCAACTTTTAATTGATATGGATGAATGAAGAAAAAATTTTCAGTTAATACATGTAGTTACAAGGGTTTGACACTTACCTTTCGCGATCTACTACTCAACTTTAAGATAATTTATAACTAATCTTTTATTTTTAACGATACCAGGGTCTTTTATCAAAACTTTGAAATACTTGGTCCTGAACTGTAATTAATTAAATGCATTGGTTCAAAAGTGTCTTTCCCAATATTCTACCATTAGTTTATACCGGAAGGAGAAGTGACAGAGAAATTCTTTATAATTGCGTAATACTCCTCCGATCCTAAATATAAGACTTAATTATTAAGTTAATTTTGATCATAAATATAAGACTTATTTCTCATATTTATCAATTTTTCTTAAATTACCTCTATGAATACGCTTTCAACCATAATCAAGTAAAAGAGGGAGAGAAGATATTAAAGAAGATGATTATGGTATTTTAGGAAAAATATATCATATTTTTTATAATTAACTAATTTAACTAACTTTCTTAATCTAATCAAATTAGTTAAATAGGTCTTATATTAAGGATCGGAGGAGTATTATCTTAAAAGCATGTGAAAGTGCCGATCCTAGTCTAAGTCAGCTCAGCACGTAACACCTACAGTAAAGGTTCAACACTCGAGCTAGTTAAAAATCTTTGTTCAGTATCAAATGTGAAGCTGACAATTGGTAAAAAGGTCGGAAAATGTAGCAGACATGTACCTGAATGTAGACGTCAAATAAACGCCTTCCAAGGCGGCTATATATTTGATCATCAGTGAACATTATCTCTGCAAAATGAAGGTTCCCTCTGTATTTTCCATTTTCCAGGCAAAAGCCATAATAAGTCAGAGAAATAGGAGTAACACGGGCATTCTTATACAGTCCAGCATCGATCATAGAAAGCCTAGACTTGTTCGCATAGGTAACATGGTAGTCTGTGGTATCATTAGTATCCAAGTAATAACCAGTGGTGCTAAATGCCCAGTTTCCACCTTCCCTAAGGAATCTAGCAGGTCCAGCAGGATCTGAATCACCTTCATATGTTTTGCCGTCACTGACGGTTACCGACTGACCACCACAATTTATATGGAGAGAGCGCGATTCTGGAACACGTAAAATAGGGTGAATCGCGGTCCAAATGAACCAAGCTACATGAGGAACTTACATTTACAACGGTAGGATAAGATAGAATAGGTTCCGTCAAATCAAATAATATAGCAGAGTGTTAGAAAAAGGTCTTGATATACTTTCCCCCTTGCTCTTGGACCCCCTAATTAAAGTAGCCCCAAAGTCTATCCATATTCCAAATGCTAAAGCAAGCAGAGTGAGATACCGAGATCTAAGAAGTGCGACGAGGAAAAGTTATACGTAAACTTACTTTCACTGCAGCTGACGCTTCTTAGACACGTGGGCATTCCCCTGAGAGTAAGGTGGAAAGGACGTGAAAAAGTCAGAAAAGATTAGCTTCATATAGTAATGAAAATATCGCATGTTGAGTTTGGCGGATGAAACTTACGAGGTGTTGGCCATTGACGAGCTTGCAAAGAGGTTCCTATGGCATGTGAGAGATTGATATGGATCAGATAGGATTATAAAGTTGATATCGAATGCATAAAATATGTGTGCGTGCAAGCGCGCTTACACGTTATTGTATTTTGAACATTGCTGCTCTGAGTTTCCACTGTTGAAGTTATTGTATGAAAGATCTCTATGTACAAGTGAAAATAGAAATTTTAAAATCTTGGAAAGATGCAACAAAGAATCATAAGGAATCATTTGGAGATTCTAAACAAACCAGAGCATATCAGCTTCAAGATTCACAAGTGTAATTCGATGTATAAATATAATGTGCGATAATCGAAGCCCATGCATGAGCAGAAAACTTCAAAAATGAGAGAGTTCAGACTTATGAAGGAAACTGTCAACGACCCTATTATCTGCAAGTCAGATCATATTTTACAAGACTGCACATATAATTGTGTGTCAAAGGACTTTCTAATAAGCCGTTTTGAATTACTCATGCATTTACACGACCACTTCATACAGCTTCGGTTGGCATTTGGCAGTCGGAAAAATAAGGGAACGAAGACAGGGAACAATAAGCCGAAAAAAGGAAAAGAAAAGACAGGGAACGAAGGGACATTCAGAAATGAGGAAGGAGCTGATGGGCGTCGATTGCTGAACGAAAAGAGCAAAGGAGAGAGAGTGGAAACCACATGAGAGCAGGAGCAAAGAACTGATCCCATCTCTCTGTAAATTCTAGAGATGAGCACATCTGGACAATTTTTATTATATAATATTTTCATTTTAACCTGAAATCAATTTTTCAAATTAAAATTTTTGTTTTACTTCATGCTTCGTTTACATGAAGCATAAAAAAAATGCGTCATACAAAATCCAAGAGAAATTAAATCGGTATTTCTCTGTTAACCCTTGGTTATCGCAAGGATAGTTTTGGCTGTATCTAGACTCACTATTAAAAAGCGATTTTTTTAATAAAAAAAATGTCACATTTTCTCTCCTGATTAATAATTTTAAACAGGCCTAATATTTAAAAATATTTTATTTTTTCAATCTTGAGACAATTTTATTAAGCTAAGGATTAGTACATATAAATAATGTACCTGCCAAGTTAACAAGTAACCTGAAAAGTGGTGCAAAAAAAGACATGGAAGGCCCATTACGTGATAAAAGGACATGTCTTGGAGTTTGTTTTTTCAAAAAAAGAAAGGACCTTTCTGTTGACAAGATTTTGTATTGCAGATGAAAGGTCTCTGGCGGGAGCGTTTTTGTCCACCCAATTCTTTTTTTATGAAGTCCTTGTATAATTTATAGTTGCCATTTTCTTTTCTCATTCAATCCCATCACATTTGCATTACCATTTCTAATTTCCTATTATTTTTATTGTAGAAATGCTTCATTATCAAGCAGCCCCTCGCAGAAAAATGAAAATATGAATAGCGACCAACATATAGATAACAAAAAATTAATTTAACGACAATTAGGCTTTCAATGAAATTTTCTGAAAAAATAAGCTGTAAAGATTCCGATATATAGTTGCAAACAAAAATCTCAATTATAATTTGGGAGACGCATTTGAAACTAAAGTGCCTTATCTACATTTAAAAACTAAAACTCCCTAAATTTACAATTCTCAATATTCACAACTTATTTTTTGGAAAAGAAATTATTAAATACTTTGGGCTCGTTTAAAATAATTTATAAATAAATTTTCAATAACAATTTATTAAAAATGAGGCATGTGAAAGTGCTTATAAGAATTTAAAATAAAAAGATGCAAAGATACTCTTATTCGTTATTAATTCAATCTTTTGTAACCTAACTTTCATCTTCCCAGAAATCTTATGGAGTAAAGCACTTCACAGCGCGTGTGGGAAGCATCGGAAAGAAAACTCACAGGCTAACTTTGGTACCCGCGTCATCTATCCATGGAGGTATTTGTCCAGTGAGAAGGTTTTTTGTCAAAAATCTACACAAAAGAAATTTCAAGAAAATGATAGAAGCCAACGTTGATATTTTAAAAGAACCCAAAAAAAAAAAATTTCTTACACATAGTGATGTTTCCTATGCATCTTAAAGGTGTCCGGGATATCTCCCGTCAAATTGTTGAAGCTTAAGTCTCTGCATATATACACATGCATAAAAATGTCGTAATAAATGTAAAAGAAAGGATCGCAAAATTAACAGTATTCTCTTCGTTTATTGTCATCAGATATTTTTAATAAACTAACGTTCGTTAAGAAAAATTGTTTGTTAGTTGATATTTTAAATTCTTTTCAAATTTATCTAATCCTAGTAATTATTTGTTTGCATCCCCATGCGCATTTTAGGTTAAAAAAAGTTTTAATTACTCTTAAGATTCTATAAGACGCCTTATAAATTGAAATATATTACCTCTTATTCTTAATATAAAAACTTATTTGATTTTTATTTTGGTCTTAAATATAAAACCTCAATCTACTTTGTCCTCATATTTATCTATTTTTTGAAGGTAGCCTCTGTAATAATTGTAGTTCTAATCAATACACTTGATTAGTAGGGATATTTTTTAAAAAAATAATATCCATTTATTACCAAAAAAAACTGACATAACTAATTTTCTTAATATACTCAAATTAGTCAACTAAAAGGATGTTTGGATAGAAACAAAACCATGATTTTAAAAATATTTTTATGGTATATGAAATCAATATGTGGAGGAATTTATCTCGATTTGTGAAAAAATATATTTTTGAAAAGCACTTTTGATATAACCCAAACACCTCCTAACTCTTATATTAAGGATCAGAAGTAATAGAACCTCAAATAAATTGCTTTATTAATAATAAATAGAATAATATAATCTCCATTTTAAAAATATGTCTTTTGAAAAAATTGTTTTCTTTCATATGTCTTTTTAAAAGTTTAAAGTAACATTCATTAATTTTAGAAACAAAAATGAGGCAATGTAGTTTGAAACAGAGTGTATATTTGTGTATTAAAACAGAGTTAAGTTACAATTTGCTTTTGCATTTTTTATCCCATTTTTTGATTAATCTAATAGAACATGGGGGATATTGTTCTAGTTAGTAAAGAAATGAGCACTTACATAGTGGTTAAATTTTCCATACTCCCAAGATATGGATGTATCGTTCCATTAATCTTGCAATTCCTCAGTATCCTGTAAAACAATCAGATTGTGAGCGTCCTCGTCGAATCATAAAATCTGACATCTAAAATCTTATTTCAACGATTGAGATTTAAAATGTTTAGTATCTAATTTTTTAATAATAAAATTGTTTTTAAAAAAATATAAGATTCTTTTTATTTTAAATTTTATATCTATTAGAATAAGAAATTATTCAAAATATAAAATATATTTAAATTAAATTTGGATCATCTAAAATGAGCATTTCAAGCTCATATTTTCTATGAGCGTGAAATGCGCTTCAGACAAACATCGGTACCTCTCATATCTATTTTCCTTTCCCAAATAATTGCATCAGTGAGACATTGACTCAAGAAGTGAAGCAGGGTTAAGAATAAATGTAGTCAAAACAATAATTTAACTCACAGTTTCTCCAGGTTTGTCAAGCTACTAAGTTCTGGCAAATGCAAATATTCAGATCCATTCAGGTCACTAATAATCCTGCGTATGCGTCATTTACAATCATAGTCAAACATAATTAAGGTGCAAGTGATCTTTAAAACCTCACCTACAACGAAATCATCACACCATACTTACAATTCTCTCAGATTTTTCATTAGTGAGAATACTGAAGGAATTGGCCCGCTTAAACCACTCCCCAGAATCCTCCTGATAAAATGAAAAATCGTTCATTCAGATTAAAAGGCTTTGAGCGGTTCAAGAATTGAAAGAAATGAGAGTTGATAAGGGGAGGAAAAGGAAGAGAGATTTTCTTACAATTTCTCGAGACTCGTCCAGTTCTGAATAAAATCAGGTATCTTCCCTGAAAATCGATTATCCCCAATTTGACTGCCATCAGCCATGTGTGGTGCAAGCAGGAAAAGTGACTGTTAGGTTAGATTTTTGAACTGAAATAAGCAACATAGTGTAGTCATCATGGCAATGAGAGTATGATAAAAGAGGAAGCTTACAAGTCTCGCAATGCAGTGAGATTGGCTAATGTAGGAGGTAACTCCCCAGTAAAATTATTGGAGTTAAGCAGCCTGGGTTGACGAGGATAGATTATGAACATAAGCAAATGGAGTTCAAGTTTCAAAGCACATGGTCAATCAACGAGCATGTGGACAGATTAAACTAAGAATTTAACACAGTGATTACAAACGGCAAATCAAATCAAGGGCTCACAATCTTTCAAGATTGGTGAGACTACCGAGCTCCGGAGGAAGATTTCCAGAAAATTGATTGAACGCTAGGTCCCTGTCCATTTTAGGTCAAGTTAATTTCCACCAAAGCTTTGGGGAAACAATTCGTTAAGATGATAATTGATAGAACTCACAGAAGCTGGAGAGTGGAAATGCTTCCTAGCTCTCGTGGCATTGTACCCGTCAGCCGATTTCCGTAAACCGAACTACCGTATAATTAAGAACAATGCATCATTAGATTCATGTTAATTGAACGAAACCGTAATCATATTCTCTATAGTCGATCAAAATCAAAATGTAAGAGAGGACAGAGTACATTATGGTAAGTTGCGTGGAGCCCCATTCTGGAGGAATTGTGCCGTTGAGGTAATTAAGATTGAGATTACTGCGAGCACAAAAGAGAAAGAAGTCGATTTGATGAAAGAAGCGCAGTGTCCCTAGACGTGTGAGTTCAAGTTTTAGAAGCACCTACATTTCTGTAAGGTAAGGTAGCTCCGTCAGTTCTGGCGGCAGAGTCCCCGTGAGATTTTGAGATCTCAGTCTACTGCACGTCAGTTCCGCGCCGCAAAGAGGAAGGTGGCCAAATTAAATATTAAATAATAATAATGAGACAATTAATTGGGTTCTCTTCTTAGAATACATTTTATAATAAAGTATTATTACGTGTACAATAATTAGATTTTAAAATATACTAGGGGTACCTCCTATTCTTAATATAAGAGCTTTTTAATTTTTATTTTGATTCTAAGTATAAGATCTCAATCTATTTTGTCATTTATATTTAGTGCTCCTTCAATCCTAAATATAATACCTTGTTTAATTTTTATTTTAATTCTAAGTATAAGATCCCAATCTATTTCGTCTCTCATATTTAGTACTCTTCCGATTATAAATATAAGACCCTTTTTGTAGTGTAATTAGCTACTTAAGAAAAAAATATATTCTTCCAATCCTAAATATAAGACCCCTTTTATAGTGTAAAGGGGTTTTATATTTAGAACCGAAAGAATATATATTTTTTTTAAATAGCTCTTATAATAATGCTAGTTTTAACCAGTACAATTGATTAGTAAGAATATTTTAGAAAATATAATACTCCTCCAGTCCTTAATATAAGACCCAATTGTTAAGTTAGTTTTGATCCTAAATATAAGACTCATTTTTCAGATTTATCAATTTTTTCTAAATTATCCCTATAGATACTCTCTCAACCATAATCAAGTAAAAGAAGAAGAAGAGGTATTAAAAAAGATGATTATGATATTTTAGGAAAAACGTGTCACATTTCTTATAATTAACTAACTTATCTAACTTTCTTAATCTAATCAAATTAGTTAAATGGGTCATATATTAAGAACCGGAAAATATCTATTTATTACAAATAACTAACTTAACTAGTTTTTTTAACATACTCAAATTAGTCAGTTAGATTTTATATTAAGTAACGGAGGTAGTAGTCAAAATGTTTATAATTTGTAAATTGTGTGATTGAGAATATATTTTATATTCAACTATGTTGCCCAAACACTAGCAATATAATATTATAACTCTATAGTTTATTCATTATTCACGAATTTGGTTGTCAGTTTCTTTATTTAAAAATAACTTTGTGAAAGTCTCCGAAAAAAGGTGCTAAGCCGTTGTATGCAAGCAGGGAAGACAGCGTCTGGTTTAAAAAAAAGAGAAAAATCTATGTTGCTTGATACGGATGACTGAGAAATGTCACTAATGACTGTTAATTTTACCAAAATTACAATTTTTTTTAATGTTGAGCCCAATTACATTCATCAGTTAGCAAACTACAAAAAACAGTTTGTTTAATTTTATACACATAAAAACGCAGAAAAAATTGAGGAAATGTGTCACTATTACACTTTAGTTGAATTGAAGAAGTCTTCTTTAATATTACAGCTGCTCATCATTTACATGGCAAAAAATTCTGACTCTTCTTCAAATTTTTCATGTTTTTTCTCTTAAATTTTTCTTGATATAATTTTTTTAATTTTCCGGTGCATAGCTTAAATTCTTCTACTTTTTTTACTGTGTAAACTTCAAAATTATAGACATTATTTTGTCTTTTATTAAAAAAGGAAAAAGTTACTATTCAAAATTTTATTAATGAAAAAATTTAACACAAGCGATCTATATTACGCTTATATAAAATTGGCATAATATTAATAGTTTTTGTATACAAAAATTTATCAAATGTCTTTTACTAATATTACCTTCTATCTTAAATATTAGCAGAATTTTAATAGTTTTTGTATAAAAAAATTCATCAAATTTTCTTTATTAATACTACTTCCTATCTTAATTATAAGATCTATTATAAATTAGATCGCATATTTAGCACAGAAAATTTTTATGGGAAAAAAAACTGTGAGAGGGACATGCCACGTGGGACTTACGTCGCCTCTACATCTCCTATGAGACCTTATCCACTCAAATCATCTAAAAGCCCGCAATGTGCCACGTCAGGTTAGTCTTATGGTCTTATTTATAGAACAAAGAGATAAGATTTTTTTAACCTTATTTATAAGTTATTTTATTAAATTTTTATTATAAATTTACTATATTGTCATTAATTTAGTATAGTATAGATAGATATTTTTTTAAAAAAGTATATATATTAAATAGGGGTAAAATTAGAAAGTTATTATATTTTAATGAAAAGTTAATACAGTTTAAAGTATTTCTTAATCTATATAAAACATGTTAAAAATATTTTATAAAAAAAACTGAAGAAGTATTAAAATAATCTTGCCCTGGTACGTCCAACGGTTCAAGGATCCATGAAAGTATCAGTCTTCCACACTCGGGCCACTCTCTCCTCTTTTGAGAGTGGTTGGATTATTTGAGACAAATTTTTATATATATTTATTTTATATAATGTAAAATTATTTTTAAATTTATAGTTTGATTTTCAATCAAACAACTGCCACGTCTCTCACCTCAGCATCAGAATTGAATTTCGCCGACTTGATCCAGTTTCTTATCCTTGAGAAATCCAAAGATTATAGTCCAACGTTAATCACATAACTTGAAAAGCATCCCCTTCGCTAGTGATCAACAATCAATGAGAATTCTCTATCACTGTCATCCTTCACTCTTCTATCTGGTCATGAGCTTCCTTCATTTACAATCCTCCCTCCACGTTTTCCTCATAATAGCTCAGCCCAATTTTCAAAAGCTTCCGCAATAATTCGCTCTTACTATTATCAATCCCTCCCTTCAACATCAAGCATTTCAATTGCGCTATGCTTCTCTCTATCATTCTGCTTATCCAACTCGCTATGTTTCGAACCACAGCGTTGTCCCTTTAGATGGTTCTCTGAGGATTTTCCCTTAAAAATCTCCAGAATCACGATGCCCAAACTCTATGACCGGTCTTCTTCATGACCCGGCCATGTTGCGCCTACTGCTTCAGCGACTTGTGAGCTTTTAGATCATTTTGCAGGGACAGAATTTTAGGACGCTGATGAGGAAGATAGTTCTACCTCATATCATTAATATAAAAACTAGTTGATTAATTTAAGTAGGTTAAAAAATTAATTAAGTTAGTTATTTATAATAAATAGATATTGATTTTTTTAAAATATCCTTACTAATCAAGTATATTGACTAGAACTACCATTATTATAAAAACTATTTTGAAAAAAAATAGATAAATATTAAAAACAAAATGAGCTATAATTTTATATTTAATACTAAAATAAAAATCAAACAAACTATTATATTGAATATAAGGCAGGAAGTAATAAGAGGACCTGATTCCGACAAAAACCATCATCGCCCCAAGAGAACGTACAATTGCGGAGTAGGTGTTCTCATCTTGAAAACTACTAAAGAATTGTACTAACAGAAACTGAGATTAAAAGGAAAAAGAGATGAATGAAAGAGATCACGTACATGTTGGTAACATGACAAAAACTATCACCAAGAGAACAATTGCAGACGACGGCATTATTGGCGTCGTCTGTAGTCCAGTTGCGATTTCCAGAAGTAGTACATGGATCTACGTTGAAGTCCCAGTCCTTCTTTCCCAGTTTCCCAGCTATCTTTCTCAAAGCTTCCACTAAACACACAGATAGACATAATAAGATTCATGTGTGTGCGTGTGTGTGGACACAAAATATATACGGTCCAGTTTTCTACATGCGCGTATACCTTCATCTGGTGAAGTGACACCGAGGGCAAAAGTGGAGAAGAAGCCAAAGAGAAGGAGCACGAGAAGGCAATACTGAGGACAACCCGTGCTGTAATTCATGCTGCTTCGCCTTGGATTTGCCTGTAGAATGCTCCGGATTTATTGTTTATAGTAAATCTAAATGCTGTGAGAGAGGCGACTTTTCCCTGTAAATGCGCGGCTGGGCCTGAGTCAAACGGACGGCTACGATCGCGTGTCGATCTGATGGGCGGTCCGGATTTGAGCACAAGATGAAGAAGTGGGCCCCATGCCCCGTCGACGTAATATGCGAGGGGACTATTACGTTGACTGAGCACAGATGATGGACTTGACCAAGTTGGCTCTGGAATTAAAATCTACATTTCCCCACACATGGTGGTTGAGGTTTCTATTGTCGACAATAAAGGTGGATATTCATTTCCGTAACAAGTCTTGGGAGGAAATGACTGGTGTGATGGAGTTGTCAACTTCAAAAAGGAGGCCACTAAATAGAATGATAACATCGGTGGTAACCTCTTGAAAAGGAAACGCATTATTACTAAAGGGTTGGAGGGCATTGGCCGAACCAGAGCAAACAGCATCTCTACGGGGTTATATAAAATAGAGAAAAAACTGTGGAATGAGTACCACAAAATCATAGCGCAAGAGGAACTATTGTGGTACCAAAAGACTCGATGCAAATGGCTGGCATGGGGTGACAAGAACACGCGCTTTTTTCATGCTTCCACTAAAATGAGGAAAAAGAGACAGTATTTTGAGGCCTTAAAAAATGACGAGGGAGTATGGGTCACAAACAAAGCTGAACTGGAAAATATGGCTAATGATTTTTTCCATGAGCTTTACACGAAAGATTGCCATGTAGCAGACTCATTGGATTGGATTGCAGATTTCCCTCCCTTGAGAACAGAAGACAGAACTATCATCCATAAAGAGGTAGATGATACTGAGATAAAAAAACGCGGCTTTCATGATGGGAGCCTTCAAGGCTCCGAGCCCAGATGGTCTGAATGCTCATTTTTTCCACACACAGTGGGACCATGTTGGATCCAAAATCTGCGAACTCATCAGACATATTTGGCATCGTCCTGAAAAATGTCTTAATAAAGGTAAAAGCTACAAAGGATCGCATTGTTACCAGATATTTTTAATAAACTAAACGTTCGTTAAGAAAAATTGTTTGTTAGTT